CCCCAAAACCCCAAAACCCCAAAACCCCAAGATGAGGATTAGATATTGAGAATGAATATTCTAAAATAATATTAGAATAATTTACTGATCATTATGGTATAAGGACAGAGTAGAAATTATATTAATTTCTAGGGTTTGAACTATCAAATATTCACAGATTTTTAGATATTTAGAGGGGAGATTTCACATTTATTTTATGCCCGAAGCTTTTGGAGAAAGAAAATCTAATTTTGGAAAATATAAAAGAGTGTTATGAGAGTATTGATTTTTTTGTTATATCTCTTCAAAAATTTCTTACCTGCTTACTGAGCTAATTATTATAGAAAATATTAGAAAAGCTCAAGACATCTTTAGAATTTTTCTTTAGCACTTTAAAACCTAAAAATTAATTTCTGAGAGTAGGCTAACAAACCTTAAGAAATTTAGTTGTAGATGAGCTTTTACGATGAAGTCAAGAATTGATATTTGTTGCATCTCCTCAGAGACTGCAAGGGGATTGACAAGTTTGAGTATTCATCAGTCAAGAGAGGTGAGAGTGATTCAGAAGATTCTTCGGAGAGAAGGAAAGCGGAAGATAATTTATTCCGAATTTTTGGACCTGAAAGGAGAATAGTGAAAATCATTCTGGTTCCTTCTCCATAAACTGATTCTACTATTATTTTTCCTCCCAAAGTTTCAACATATTTCTTGCTAATTGTGAGTCCAAGGCCACATCCAGTTGGATTTAGATTGTTATTTGTCTCAATAACTCCGAACAATGTAAAGATATTCTCTTGATCTTCCTTCTTAATTCCAGTACCAGTATCTTCTACACTAAATTCAATATAGCTATCTCCCTCAATAGTCTTGATCATCTTGGCCCTGACTATAATATTTCCTCTAAAAGTAAATTTAGAAGAATTGGAAATCAAGTTCAATAGCACTTGTCTAATTCTATTACGGTCAGAGTTAACTTCTCAACATTTGAGTCCTTGCTCTCATTGGATTTCCAATTCAACACCTTTACTTTGGCACTGAACAATAAACAGAGGTTGAACTTCCTTGAGTAATTTGAATACATTGAAGTCTTCATAGTTGGTCATGAAAGTCCCGTTATCTATTTTTGACAAATTCAAGATATCTTCGACCAGAGAGAGCAAAAGAATCGACGAAGTTCTCCCATTTTTAGTGAATTGTTGTATCGTGATTATGCAATTCTGAAATTCTAGACTTTGCTGGATCCTCTCAGGTATTGTATTCTCAATAATACTGATCAATTCTTGAAAGCTCTCTTTTATGAATTCATAGGAGTTTATAATGCAATTAAGGGGCGTTCTAAATTCATGGCTTGCACTTGCAAACATAATCCTCTGCATTTTTATTCTATTCTTTGCTTGCTCCAATTTGATAATATCGGTATGGTCAATAAAGACATGCATGAAAGATGGATGGCCTTTCCATTCAATTTTTAGCGACTTTATATTGAAGTTTCTGTTTGCAATGTTACCTGTTTTATCGTTTGAGACTGGAATGACTCATTCTCTAAGAAAAGACCTATAGAATATTAAAGAAGGATTCAGATTAGAAAATAGATTTTTCATACTAAAAATGTATTTTGTGCAATTAACGTACCTTTCCAAATTATCAAGATTTTTGACAAAATCTCTCTTGTTATCTGCATTCTTGATATGCTTTTGCTGCTCTGCTAAATACTCTAAAAGACTTAATTTAGATTCCAAATGTTCTTGGTTTTGATCCTTTTTGATAGATACTTCAATCTTAGTCAGATTCTCTATCTTATGCTTGAGAGAACTAATTTTAGATTCAAACTCAGAATTTGAGTAGCATTCAAATGATTTTGTGCCATTTTCTGGGAGAATTAGTACTGGATGAGGAAATTCTATCACCACTTTCTCCTTTTCCTTCACTAATCTTTCATTTTTAAGGATTATTTCATACATAATTTTGAGTTTGTAATGGATTATGTTGAGACCAAAATAGAAATAAACCAGTGAAGTGAGAGAAGAAAGAATCATAGCACTATCTAATGAACCAATTTGGCAATATGATTGATAGAGATACCCAAATACACTAACAGCAAACACTAATATGTTCAGATGCTTCTTTGATGGAGTGAGTATAGCTGTGAAATAGCAATAACAATAGGCACAAGAAACATAAGAGTTAAAATGGCCTTCATGATAGCTAGCAAATAGCCAATCGATCATAATCAGACCGCAAGATCAACTTATAACCATATAGAACTTGACATAATCAGGAAAATAAGAGATCAGGAAACATGCTAAAAGTGATGCAATAGTGAATATCACATTTCCGATGATCATTTTCTCATCTTCCTTAGTCTGACCCTCTTTGAGACCCTATGACTAACAATTCTGAACTTACATGGAATACAACAATGAGTATACTCAGGATGATCAGGATTACCGTAGACTATAACAAATATGAGCTTAGGATTGAGCATTCGATCACTGAGAGTCACTGCTGACTAGAGAAATCAATGGCCAGTTTTGTCACATTGGAATTGCAGACTTACTTGCTTAATGAACCCAATTGTAGATCGATCAAGTTTTTGAATTTCCCCTAGAAATAGGATAGGAATTACCTTTTGGAAGATGGGCTTCTAATTTAACAAATTGTTCATCCCCTCAGAGTTTAAGAATCTAGATGTCAGCTCAAATATACCTGCCGCCAGATTTTTGACATAGTTTATTACTAAATATTATTCCAAAATTTTCACACAACGGGGTTTTGGGGTTTTGGGGTTTTGGGG